TGTGCTTTGGATGCGGCAAGGTTGGCCACATTTTGGCTGCTTGTCCCAATGAGAGGAAGATAAGGCATGATGGTGCCAATAGTGGCTGGAAGAGAAACGTCAAAACGAAGGACGTTGTAAACTACACCTTGTGCGTACAAGATAGCAACAGAGCCGGCATCTCGTGAACGACGCAGCGCTACTCGAAGATGCTCGAGAATGTGGCGATCCGTGTTTGGTAGCCAATGGCAAGATGCTTCAGCTGACGCTGGTCGGTAGCGTGCTACTGCGGGTAGTGGCGCTCGGCAAGCCGGGCATCGTTCGCCTAATAGACGTCTACTACGCACCAATGCTAGCCCGCAATATATTGTCGTTCGGCAAGCTCGAATTTAAGGGATACAAGCTAGCTTACGCAAACGATCGGCGAACGATCATATCGCTCAACACCGGCGACGTCGTCTTTGATGTGGCAATGCAAAACAATGTGCTTGATGAAGAAGTGCAAGCCGAACGAGACGGCATCAGCAAGGCTGGCTCCATCTAAGGTGAAGGAGCGCAGAGAAAACGTGCAGCATGGAACACTCATGCATTTCCATCAGCGTTTCGGGCACCTATCTTACGACACAATCGAGAGGATGGCGCTCGAGCCCGGCAGACTGTCGACGCATGGTGTGCGTCACGTGCGCCCAGTGTAAGCAAACCAAGAACGTGCAGTCAAAGAAAGATACGGGTGTGCACATCCCGATTGGGTACGTGCATCCCATGCCACACGAGGGACTGCCAAGCGAGCGGCACAAGACAGTAAACACGTGACAAATGATGTACCAGCTGTGATGCAAGGTTACGAGGATGATCCCAAGACACACGCGGAGGCAATGCGCAGCACGAAAGCTGAAGGATGGCGAAAGGCAATGCTCGAGGAGACGCTCCCTCTCCAAAACAATGGTATCTAGAATGCGATCAAGCGACCGGCTGGGGCCAACATGCTGCACAGTAAGTGGGTATTCAAGACCACAACTGAAGCGAATGGCGAGGTGGAGCGTCTCAAGGCCCGGCTAGTTGCGTGCGGGAACGAGCAAGTTTTCGGCATTGATTATGCGCTCACCTTCGCTGCGGTCATGGATATGTCGACAGCAAAGGTAATCCTAGGCCTTGCAGCGACGTGGGGGGTGCCGGCAAAGCATGGTGACATTTTGAACGCCTACGTCAAGGCCGACGAGGCCTAGCGGTATGGACATCAAGGATAAACAACTAAAGAAGCTTGGTGCGACCAACGCAATCGAAGTCGCGCTTGAGCTAAAGAAGGGCTTGTATGGACTGAAGCAGGCAGACCGATTATGGAGTCATTTGCTACACGCAAGACTCACTGACGCAGGATTCAAGTAGTGTATCAGCAACATGTGCCTGTACTTCAAAGTCGAGGAAGAAGTCTTGACAGTGGTCGGCGTCTACGTCGACGATCTCCTTGTTACAGTAACAAGCGCTGCAGCGGTTGAGCAATTTTTCGTGTCGATGGCATCCCTTTCGATCAAGAATCTTGAACCAGTGTCGAAGTTTCTCGGTAAAGAATGACGGCACTCGAAACGCACGCATATGTCCTTGATCGGGAGGAGGCTATTGGCGAGCTGTTGCGTGAGCACAGCATGGGTTCGGCTAACCCCACGCGGACGCCTATTGGTGACGATTGCTACGAAGAAGTCACGCCAGATAGTGCGCTGCTCCAGGAAAACCCAGAATCCGGGTACCAAGTATTCGTTCGTTTCAGTCGCTGGTTGGCAGTTTGCTAAGGATTGCACGATGCACGCGTTCAGACATTGCGTTCGCGGTTCACAAAGCCACGCGCCAGACACATGCACCGCGCGTACGAGACCGGAAACTCGCAAAGAGGATAGCGCGCAATTTTAGTGGCAGCAAGGTGATGCGGCTTGAAATGCGCACTAATACCTACCACAACGAACAAATAACGTTCGAGTCTTACAGTGATGTGGACTTTGCTGCCGACTTTGCTGCCGACTTTGCTGCCGACAAGGGCGACAGAAAATCGCTCACTGGTGCCATCGTTTGCTAAATGGGATGCCTGTAAGCTGGGCAGCCAAGAAACAAGGTGGCGTCTCTTTCTCGACTATGGAGGCCGAATTTGTCGCGGCATCTGAGACGGCACGCGAG